GTACAAAAAACGCGAAAAACTGGAAACCCAGATGAGATAAACTGACTTGGAGTCATCACGCGAGAAGTCCATACTGCGTATTTTGAGACCATACAAGACGAAACCAAAAAAATTCCGTGTTTACTGAGACCGAGATGATCCTTCCAAAGTATTGTCTCGTGAGGTCTCGTACAGATTCTCGTGGCAGCACTAGATTTTTGCCCGCTGATTTCAAATCCGTTAGCCAAATTCTTCAAAATGACCGAGTTTCAAAGAAAAAAAATGTTAAAGTCCTCAAAGTGGATCAAAATGGTTTTTTTCAAATTTAATTAAATAATGATTCCTGTGTCGATTGAGCTGAAAAAAAGCAAAGAAAACATCGCAAATTCACTTTTAGATGGGATGGAGTAGTTTTCATTGAAAACAGGCAATAATTCATAATAAATTTCATACCTTCTCAATAAAATTGCATTTATTTATCAAAAGAAAGTCATAGCGGTAATTGTCTGAAGTTGCACGTGGGATGGCAACCACCAGCCTTAAGGGTTAAAATTTTCACTTTAAGTTGTGACACATTAATGAGAATGCACTTGGTTAGAACCTATCTTGGTGTATTGTGCATATTTCCATGAAACATTATTATTCCGACATGTCAGAATGACCATATTCTTCTAGGCACAATTAATTCAGGAATGGTAACTAATTACATGGACGTTTTTTCTCCTCCAAGTAATAATAATATACACCTCTTTCAAACACACTAGCATTAGTACATTAATAAACAACACTCTTCTGTCTTCAATGTCCTGATTGAATCCGCAACTGAAATATCAACATAAGGGTGCTACCACAATGATACCAACGCAAGGTATATGCAACGCTTGTAATTGTCAAAAATAATTGAAAAATAGTTGAACGATTGTTTCACGCTCGGCGTCCATTGTGGCATCATTTGAACCATACGGTGCATCTGCTTCATGCACGTGTGGCGTTTTATACATCAGCCAATTTCGCAGTTCTAGAAATCAACTGTATATGTTGGTAACACAATCATTACACGTATTGTAAAAACACATTTAATGTATCAATCAAACTCGACATCTCTGATTTACACATTTAGAGCTACGAATTATACATGCGTGAATCGGAAGTACACAATGTGGACTTCGAAATACAGATTGTATTTTTCGTGAAATTGCATTTACAGCATTCGTAATTGGAAATGAGTTTGTAAATGAGGTACTGTGTTACTCGGTGGATACGTTGAATGTATCAATCAATGTGTAAAATGAGTCGGCAGAATTACCTAATTTTTGAAGTTAATGATTCGTAAATAAATTAATGTGTGGAGTGTTATCAACAAATCCCGTTGATTTCCTGAAGTGTGAAATTGGTTGATGTATGAAACGCCAAATGTTCATAAAACACATGTATGGTTATGTTGATATTTCATTTATGGATTCAATCAGTGTTTCGTGATTTTTGGCATCAGTCAGTACATTGAAAACAAAAATCTGTTGTTTATTAAGGATATCCAAGTAGTTTGAGCAATTTTTTCTCTGGGAAATCCTCTTCAAAGTTTATAAAATAGACCAAGAGTATTTTTTATGCGTAATATGAACCTGAGTTTCTGAACAGTTTTTTGAGAAAACTATTTTTGAAAAAATCAAATTGAACACATTGCGTCCATCAGAGCTATATACTCCCACCTTCCATCCAATAGTTCATAGTTTTAAAACGTTTTCTCGTACACATAACCGTGTATGACATTGTTCATTATACTCTAGTTTTTTTGCGACCTTGAAAAATATAAGTTTCCGGACAGACAATTTCAAACAATCAACGTAAAAGCTTCCTGATTGCCGCGACAGTCATATTGGGTGGTTTGAATCCGCGCGGATGGGCCATTCATTTGCGAAATCACTGTGACTCACGATTGAAATCGCATGAAATCAGTTGAAATTAAGTGTAATCAGTGAAATCCTGGGATTTCATTGATTTCAGGTGATTTCAATTGAAATCACTTGCAATCGGTGAAATCTCATGAAATCATGAAATCAGCAAAACCCATGAGTCCCTTTCGAATGCATAAAAGAGAAAGAAAGTTTTTCGCTTTATTTGTGGTGTATTCTTCTACGTATGCCCATTTCCGTGTATTATTTTTCACATAGAAAGAAAATTCAGTGAAAAAAACGCGTATTTTCTTGTACGACCTTCTGGAATCTTCAGTTTTGGCTCCGGTACACATAACAGAGAGACATATTCAATAAAAATTACGTATCTTTTCCGTAATTCCAGAGCGAAATGTGGCTGGAGGAAATTTTACGGAACTGTCAAGGAATTTTCCCACAGCGTTCCGTAATTTTTATCTGAATCTCCTGTGAAAAATTACGATACCGCCACTTAAATTTTCTGAGTCGATTCCGTAATCGGTGAGCGAATTGTGAGTTCTGTAATTTTTACTGAACATTTCTCTCCGTGTAGAAATAGATATTTGAACGAATACATGAAAAAAATTATTTCATTCTCATAGCTTCTTGCTTTCCCTCCAGGTTCTATCCCCATTTCTTCCTACTTCATTCCCCCCTCCTGCGTAAATAGATGAAACCGAACATTTGGATCCATTTGAAATCGTCTGAATCACATGAAATCAATCATTGCATAAAATCATGGAAATCTCCCTGAAGTCACATGAAATCAGTACCTAATCACTGTGTCACTGGATTTCCAAATGAATGGCCCCTCGATCCGCGCGTTCCTGATGTCGGCAACGGTCCGCTCAAGTGACTACTCGGATCGAATTTACGAGGTTATATGGAACTCATGTGCAGTATTGCCGGATGGTCATTAAAGGCTAGACCAACGAGAGTCAAGTGTGAAATTGAATAAAATATTGTTCACAATATTCATTGACGAAATTCCCAAAAAATGCATTCAACAATGAAAAATCCAAAAAGTATGGGGATGGTAAGATTTCCGGCAAAACTGGAATCTTGCTTGAAAAAAAGTTGCCAACTTGAACGAAATATTTGGATATCCTTAATGTCCTAATGCAAGCATGTTTGAAAGAGGTGTATATTATTGATACGTGGAGGAGAAAAAAACGTCCGTGCAATTAATGACCGTTGCTAAATTAGTTGTGCCAGAAAGAGTATGGACATTCTAATCTGTGGGAACAACAATGTTTCGATCAAATATGTACAAAACACCAAGGTTCATTTTAACCGAGTACATACTCATTGATGTGACACAATTTGAAATGCACGCGCAATTCCTTTCGGTGCATTTCAATGTGTACCATTTGGAAATGTACAAGGGAAATTACTTCGATTGAAAAAGGTTACTAACAAACTATTAGAAAACCTGTAGAATTAATTTCACTGTTAACCATTGCGTGTGTTATTGTGGTTGTCTTCACATGTTTTTGTTTTTAACTTATCCGGATGTTTCTTTACATCGACTTTTTTTTAAATTTCGACGTGTTTTTGGGCTCCGGATATGTCGGTAAAACAATTAAACCTTAAGGCAAGGGGGTGAACGGTGCAACTGTTTTATCGACATTTCTATTCCTAGAAATAGGTCGAAATTTACCAGAAACAAGTTGATATCTCAATTTTTGCACAAGCTAGAGTGATTACAAGGATTTTTATGAAAAAATAGAAAAACGGAAATAAAAACTTTGTATGAACAGCCGTATATTTTTTGATTGATTCTGATAGAAGACATCGAAGCAAATATTTTGAAAAAAAAATTGAAATCGGTTGCGTAGTTTTTAAGATATTGCACATAAAAGGTTTTCAGAGAAAGTCAAATATCTCGGAAACTACTCATGCGATTGAGCTCATTTTCAATAGGAAGGATTGTTATCATGAGAGGAAGATTCTCTCCAAGTTTCAAGTTGATAACGGAAATATCTCGAAAACTTTGTATGAACGGGTATATATGTTTTGATTGATTCGGATAGAAGGCATCGAAACGAATATTTTGAAAAGAAAAAAATTGAAATCTGTTGACTAGCTTCCAAGATATTAGCGTAAAACGATTTAAAAACGAATAGCTTTTTCTCAAAAACTATTTGATCAATCGGGCTGAACTTTTGCAAAGAGTTATTCCTTGTTGAGGTCTATAATTTGACAAAATTTCAGATTTTTTGGAATAAGTTTAGCCAATTAATTACTCAATTTTCCAAAAATTGACCACCGGAAAGGTGGCAATGGACATTGACACCGACAGACATGGTCGCCAATCTTCGCATTTTTACGTTTCAGACCATTCTACATCATTTCCAATCAAAATTAGAGAATATGAAAACAGCACGATTACAATGTTTCCATTTGGAAGCAAAAAAGTAGGTTCAAAGAAATACTCCCGGATAAGTAGTAAAAAAACAAGATAAGGAAACCGGTATTGTGAATAATTTCCGACTTTCGATAACGTTTATTCTACCCCATCTAAGTATATGACATCCAGTCTTTACTGTTTTCAGCTTAATCGACCCAAACATTATTTTCAATTTTTTTTATTATACTTTTTTTAAAAAAATTTTATTTTTAAATTTTGAGGGCTTTAATATTTTTTTCTTCGAAACTATATCATTTCAAGGGATTTGGCAGGGGGATTTGAAATCCGTGTGAAAAAATTTTTGGGTGGTGGAAATCCCATATATCTATGCAAAAAAATCCAGAATTTTGTAGGACTGTGATATCACTGCGATTGCTTTACTATCCGATTGAAAACTATAGGCCCCTGGTACTGTAGGGTTTTTCAATATTGCAACATTCCTAAATATCTGTTCCAGTTTTTTTTCGTCAGAAATATATTCTAGACAACAAATAAATATAGAAAGCCGGAAGTGAGTGCGTGGCACAATCATCGGACGTACGAAAAACTTCCGAAATTCAAGCTCAGGGGTCTACACTTTTTTAATCCAATAGTAAGAGTGCGGATTGTGACATTTAAAAAAACTACCGCGCGCATTGCAGTCAACATATACACACCGAGATCAATAGAGTGTTACTCACCTTGACAGCCTTACGGAGATAATAAATTAAGTAGCCAACAGTGAGCAGGGAAAGACCGTAGCCCACTTTTGGCATCTCACAAAGTACCTCCAACATATTAACGAGCGAATACTTACTGTGATTAATTGAATTATTGGATTGAGAGATTAATCAGTGGAAGCGAAATGATTAAGTAATTTTTCTTATCGACACGAGTTAACCTACACTCGTGTCGTGGGTTCCGACAGACTGAGGCGTGCGATAATACCGACGTGCGAGAGGGAACTTTGGAAGTGCCGCGGGGGGGTTTGCAATACATAGTCGGGAGAAATAAAGGAGATACTGCGGATGAAATATTACACAGCTACGATATTACTCATTACACTGCGGAAACAGTATCCGCTCAAATTTGTGATAGAAGTTTCTCTGAAAGGAAAATGGCAAGTGTCAAGAATGATCAAACAGTAACGTAAAATGGAATAGATCAAGGATTAATTGAATTTACGATGGTACATAACATCGTATATTGTGAATGAATCTATTGTAACGTAAAAGTTCATATTTGAAATGGAGTTGTCAATTGGAATGTGACTGTGAAAAATATATATATGAGCAGATCCGCTACTTATATATGAAAAACTGCCGCCATTTTCTTCAAGTTTTATTTTCCACTCTTTTATCAAAAAGTATCGCCTATGCTACGAAAATTGAGCACAACTGGACCTTTCTAACTCTATTATTGTTTTCCAGTTTGTATGAATTTTTTTTTTAGAGCAGAATGGGACCTCAGAAACAGCTCTTACGGAAATTTTTTTTCTAAGAAAAATCAAATCGGATGACCTGTTAATCGGAACCAATAACAGTTCTTCATGATAATTAATTCAAAACAAAAGATAATGGAATGTTTTCACTGTAGATCGCTTCTCCTAATGAATTCCTACAGTAATTACCGCTGAAAAAACCTTATGATTTTGCCGATGCTGGGGATCGTACCGGGAACCCTACGATTACTAATGCTATGCCCTAACCATTAGACTATCGCGCTATTATTATTCAGTGCCTTCTGTTCTGCCTATACGGTCTGTATCGGGATATTTGTCGACTTCGAAATTATTCATGATCTCGCGGATTTGTACGTATATCCTGAGAGAAAATTTGTTTATTTAAAATTTTATCCATTTCATTAATAAATAATAATTCTAATAATAATAATAATAATAACATATTTCTGCAAGTTAATACATGGTATTATTGGTGCAGGGGGTTCCCGCTACAAAAGAAACAAGATAATTTTCCATAATAAAGTGATAGAAGTAGAACTGTATGATACAATGAGAAAATAATAATGGTAATAATAATAAAAATCATAGTAATAATAATAATAATAATAATAATAATAATAATAATAATAGGAACAATAATATTATATCGGAGCTCACAGATCGCGTAAGGATAATAGATAGTACCAGGATTCCAAGTTCCAAGAATTAAAAGGTTCTGCAAACACGTTTTGGTTCAAATATATAAACAATTTTCGTGAAGTTATACGGAAAAAAGAAAAACCTTATAAAAGAAATTTAAGGTAATTGAGGCGAGTACATCTAATCATTTAGTTCAAGTGAGCGAAGTTGTAAGGATTTTTGCAAAAAGCAGTATAAAACTTTTGTATCTCGAAAATTGTTAGAATTCAAAAAAGCCAAGATATTAGATTCGTTAATAGTATCAGGATTGTGCAAATAGTTAGGTAAGTAGTGAAGCCTCAGCGGAGTGTAGAATGGGCATATAAAGAGTATATGCACTAAATCCTCAGGGCAGAGCAAATTGCGCAAAGTGCAAATCTGAATTGGGTTGATCTGATAATCTATCTTGTTAATGATTATTCTTCTTGAGTGAACTGAGGACAGCCTAAGTTGGATTTTAACTCTCGTGAACTCAAAGGGGCATTTTGAGATAATTCTAATAATCACAACAGTAATGAACAAATGAAAGGTTGATGATTTTTTTTGTACTCAAGATAATTTGCTTGTAAGTTTGATTCTTTTACTATATATATTTCTGGTATCATCCCTCCCTCACCCCGTACATTCAATTAAAGCTGTTTGATAAATAAATTGAGAATTAATATTAAAAATTCGATTCACGGAAATCGCTTGTTCAAAATAAGATCAGGTGCAGCGGATCCGAACCTTAGTTTTTTCTTCAATTGACCCAATTCAAATGAAAATCACGTGCATAAAATCCGAATCGGATCAAATGAGGATTAGGCAGTCTGACCTCAGACTGAGGTCATGTCTACTTGATCAGAGCTGGATCTCAGCCCGCCTGTAGCTTTTAGGATCCGATCCATTGGATCAAAACTTAGTCAATTTTCAAAATTATACAAAATGCAGCGCCACATGTGCCGTATATGTGTAGGAAAACATTATAATTCATTTATTTCACTCTTCAGACATATGGATAAATATTTTGGATCATATGAATGAACATTTAAATGGATAAATATTTCAGACATATGGATAAACATACAGATAAATATAAACAGACACGCCGGTGAAGAATTTGTGTAGAAACATGTCTGTGGTCCGTCATTTTTCCGTATAGAAATGGATTTTTTGCTCTCGGCAATTGAATTTGTGCCAAGGTTTTATTGTTAATTTGCCAGCGGTCGAGATGGGTAGTACCACACCCGTTCAATAGTGTAGATATGAGTGGTCGAATTGTAGTCGTGTAGAAATGAAGCTGTGTAGAGTTAAGCCGTACCGACTTTACTGTCCGTCGCGTTTAGGGTACCCTAAACGCGAAGAACTCTAACCCAGCTTGGAAAATTCGGTTTCACTTGGGATTGAACTCGCAACTGTTCGCACAATAGACTTGCGTCTAACCCACTCGTCGGCCACCGCCGGCGGTCTTTTCAAATTTTCTTCTTGAGTTTTCCATGTTACGTTTATATGTATTCCCAAAATACGTAAAAACATAAAAAACTTCTTTTTTCGAAAAGTAGAGCAAATTTCTACCAAAATTTATGGGTCCAAATTTTTGTTGTTGTTTACAGTGGCTCGTAATTACAATTCAAAACAAGTTGTCACATACATACATCCAGACATGACCCTAAAAACATAATTCCTTCACGTTTCATAACATTCTAGACCCTTTGCAATTAAAATTAGAAAATCTAAAAATCGGTCAAATACAAGACTTCCATTCGGAAACAACAATAAAAATGATTGCAATTGAATGCTTTTTCATTAACAAGGATTGAACCTCCCTGAAACAAATTTGCGAATAAAATTTGATAAACTTTTCAGATGCAATAATCAATGTACTACTTAAATTTATCTGTGATCTACAATTCCATTGCGTTATTCAATTAGGAATTTTCATTATAGGAAATTTACAAATATTCAAAGGTGATTCGTAGAAGACTATTCCATCACGGCTGACAAAGAATGAAAATTAGAATCAATATGGTGAAGATTAGATACTGTAATATGCATTGTGGAAACCACCTAACTAGGAAGTGACACAGGAAGTTAGAAATGAGATCTATTTCATTGACACAAATGTGATAACCCGAATATAATGAGATTAAAATTTCATCACGGATTTCATTTCCGCCAGGACTCACAGTTTCATTATCTTTGATTTGAACGATAAAATTGGTGAACTGGGAATGGTACACATTTTGGGGATTGATCAATGAAATATTCTATAGGTAATAATTATCGAAATGTTCTTTATTACATCACAATAGGCTGAGTGTCATAATGGTAGACAATGGGAGAGGGGAAGACATTATCAATCGTTAGTAACGACGATAGTGAATACTAAAGCATTTGTTCTCCTGCAATACAATAATACAATAAAAAAGATCATTCACATGTGCTTTGTTGTCTCATCGTGGTTGATATTGATTTTACATCTCAACTTTCGTTTATTTTGATTAGAAAAATTTGGCATCAATGGTTGTTCTTGATTTTTTAGCCATCACTTATCACACAATTTCCTATAAACCACAATAAATAATTTAAAAAACCAATGGGTTATAAATGGCACGTGGTTGAATTTTCGATATTAGTAAAGGCAGTACATTAATCGATGCTTGAATCAGACAACTCCAATATTATTCATCATGTATGCCCGATTATTGGAGTCATGAAATTGCTAGCACCCTTTTTCCGATAACCGAAAGCCACCTACATTGAGAGCACACATTATTGGCTGAACTGAAAGCCATTGATAATCAAATAAACGACCAATCGATGGTGATAAGTAGAATATATAAACAATTTCATCATTGGTTTTCTGGAGAATCTCAAATAGACTAGGACAAAATAAACAGCATCCTGCAAAGAGTATCGATAAACTTCGAATTCGTGCTTTGACAGTTTATACAGTTGACTCTAAACTTTAAACTCTGAAATTTCGCGATGATTGCGTGATTGTAGCTATCAACAATAAATCATCTAACATTGTTTCACCTCTTAATTACTGAATGAATAAAACCAAAAATAAAGGATGATTGAGAGTCAATAGTAACATTGATACAAGTAATAAAAATTCAAAGTTCTACTCTATTCCGATGGAGTATGTCCTGAATAGTATTTACTGCAGGATGCTGAAACCCCTTATATCATGCTCTCCTGTCGCAATTGGACTCTCGAATATACTTGGCCCAAGTTCTGTGTGGCGAGAGATCCCCTTTCCTCAGCAATGGCCTTTGATTCATAATATTTCTGTAAGTTTCATCGTCATAAGTGCAACTCAAACTTTTTCTCAGTTTAACTGCACCCGTAGCGAATTCACTTGGTTGACTGCCAGTTAATACATGCAAATCATTCTTCTCCTGTACCGCCCAGTCCCACATTTCCACAATCGAGCAATTACAGACAAACGGATTGCCAATTAGATTCAACGACAGTAGATGAGTGTTGGATCTCAACATCTTAGGGTTTACGGTCCTTATTTGATTATTACTGAGGTCCAAATGCTCCAGTCTTCGTAATTTCTTCAAAAAATTGAGATCCGATATCTTGTTGTTAGATAAATTCAATTGTGACAGATTTTTGTTCCGCGAGAGAACGTTCTCATTAAGCTCCACTATATTGCAATTGCTCAAATCCAATATCTCAACGTTGGATAATTGTTTCGGTAGAAGTGATCCTTCATCAGGTATTGTTAGTGGATTTCCACTGAGTTTAAGCTCAATAACGCTCGAGTAAATTCTCTCTTTACCGAATACTTTCGGATCTAGGGGAGTTGTAAAACCACAATTGTTCAATTCAAGACTCTCCAGTCTCGTTAAGTTGGCAAAAAGATCCGCATCAAGTGTGTGCAATTTATTGCCTGATAAAATGAGTTTCTTTAGCTCTGTCATGTGAGCGAAAGTATTGTTACCAACATATCCAAGACTGCAATAAGACATGTCCAAATACTCGAGTGATCTCAAGGGATTGAGTAGCTTAACGAAGGCATCTGATAGAGGATTGTGGGATATGTCGAGTTCCTGGAGGTGTTCCAGCACATCGAAGGCATCTGGTAATCTCCGGAGGCTGCAATTACTTAATGAAAGTTTATGAAGTTTTGGTAGATGCCGGAGTACTGCTGTTAAGTCACCGGCGAACATAGGATTGCCGCTTAAATTCAAAACACGAAGTTTACTCGAATTTCTGAAAGTCTCTTCGGACAAGCGATCTTGGAGGGCACAGTTTGAGAGATCAAGGGTCTGGAGATTATGAAGGTTATGGCCAAGAGTATTTTCAATATCCAAATGATGTAGTTCATTGAGAGATAGTACAAGATGACGAAGATATAGATTTTTTGCGAATGCATCAGCTGGTAAATTGGTTATTCCCGTATTGCCAATGTTGAAATTCTCAAGACGAATAAGAGGAGCTAATACACTTGTCCAGGTGATTGACTTCAAGCTATTGTTCGACATATCCAATTCTCGGAGATTCTCCAAGTGGGTAAACGCTTCAGGCGAGATGTAACTCAAGGTGCAATTGTTGAGCTTTAAATACTCCAGATTAGTGAGATGATCGAAAGGGCCTGGAGCAATTCGTTCAAGTGGATTCCCCGATAAATCCAGTTTATTCAAATTGGTCGTGTTGTGGAAGAATTGATTATTCAAACGGCGAATTCCACAGGTGCTCAAGTCTAGGTACAGGAGAGTTCGACAGTTGAGGAAATGGCCCTCTACTTCACTCAGGGGATTATTCTGAAGCTCCAGAGTTATCAGACCCGGACTGTCCCTGTAATGAAGCCCAGTTTGAGTGATGTTGGACTCACCACAGACAAATAACAAGGAAAACAGAACATCGGCATTTGCTTTTTAGTACGTTGAAGGATCTGCCCACATGGAAATGAATATATGCGTTAAATATATTTATAAATTTAAAAAAAATATGTTACATATATTTGATCTATATGAGCGTATATGCCACATACTTTGCACATATATTTCGCATAGAACTTTTTTGCCGCTTTTATATCTCGTACACTGAGAAGACAAAAGTTTTTTTAGAAGTACTTCTTTACTTGTATCACGAAATTCATGGCTCGAAAATTACTAAGCGCAAAATATCTCGCACTAAAAAAAATCTTACGCCAAAGAATTTTATACTTGCCCGAAAGATGGGGGTAATTGGTTCATATCAAGGAAACGAATTCTTATCAAGAAAAAGAGTTTTCGACCGGCTTTTCTCGTCTCGTCTCGTTTCTGTCATTGTCTCGAAAGATTCTTCTCGTCTCGTCTCGTCATGTCTCTTAACTCCTTTGTCTCGTTTCTCTCGCATCATCACGAATTTTGCTCTTCAAAATTTTCAAGCCACGAGTTTTTTGATATAAGTAAAGACGTACTTCTCAAAAACGATGGTTTTCTCAGTGTATGATTGAAATATACGTGAAATATATTTGGACATATATTTTTTTACGCGTGAATGATCATTGCGGAGCAGAATAGAATAGGGAAACAAAACAGAACGAAGGATAAGAACAAGATAAATGACTCGAGTGATTTGAACAATTACCTGAAAGCCTCGGGATCAACACGGGTGATCATATTGTATGAGAAATCAGCATCGAGGAGATATGTGAGTCCAGCAAATGAGTCGTAAGTCAACTCAGTGAGACGATTGTGTGCCATCTGCAGTCTGCGAAGTTTGATGTCGTCTGGGAATGGGCTCAAGTGCTCTACGTTGTTACCGTTCATATCGAGTATGTAGACATTTGGACTCAACTCGTCATATGGTACAGAAGTCAGATTACTCTCGGAACAGTCTGTTACCCAGTTGATGCGAAAATAGTGACAGTCACAGTCGACTGGGCACTTCTGCTCAACAAGTTCACCATTAAGCAGTGGGATTGATGCAATTAGCATCAATGGGACGATTAACGAGATTGTCTTCAGCATTGTGACTAGCTTAGTGATCTGGAACAGAGAAGATCAATCCAATTAGAATATTAGTTTTAGAATATATTGCGTATATTTACTCGACTTCCGTGTTTTCTTTCGATTTTTCCCCCCTTCACTTTTTTTTCTCGAAGGGGTTCTGGTGACCCACCGTGCATTATCTACTTCATGGCGTCTGGTGATCTCTCGGAAACAGGAAAGGGGGTTGAAGCAACAAACTCGTAACGTGTAGGCCAGGTTGAATATCGGTTGGGATCATCCGGGGGGGATCTAGTAGGCTAGCAAAGCCGGATTGGCTTGTCGATACGTTCCAAGTACCCTCCCGCAACCATGACATCTTTATCACTATTGTACTACCATATTTTTTCTATTTTATTTTAAAGAGATATAAGTTAGATGGTCGCTGTTATCGAGTAGATTTGGAAGAAAATTACACTCCGGTTTCTTGATATTAAAAAACGAGATATACTGTTTAGTGCATTTTATTACACATTACTTTGAATGTCACGACGTATATTGCAAAATGTATTCTTTCCCCGAATCCGTGGAATTACAAGGAATGTCCCGCTTCGGCGACTCCAAAATCCCTCGTCTCACAAAAAATGTGTTACCCCAACGTAACATGGAACCCCACCCAAAAGAATTATCCCATAGGAAAAATGGAATAAAATTATCATAACCATTAATCTCACGCATTCCTAAATATAAAACATGGCAAACACACTGTGGTATTAAATATGAACCGAATAAATTAATTAAAAAATAATCCATGAAGGAAAAAAAAATACGTTAAAAAGTGAAATTCCATCTGTGGCAGAGGGTGGCGGAACATGCATAACCATAAACCTCCAGTGGCAATTATCCCTTGCGAACTTGCGTGTGAATAATTTTACTTGTGGGGGGAGGGGAATGGAAAAGTTGAATGCGACAGTTTCTACATTTCTAGTAGCTGTACGGGAAGCGGGAGGGATACAGGGACTCAGTGCCAGAGAAAACACCAGACCAACCCCTCCAACCCAAAGCCTCTTCTCTTCTTTTTTCATTTTCCCCCATCTCGTCATCGCGCTTTCTCTCTCTCTTTATACTTCTCTCATTCTCATTCCCTTTTCACCACACATAGACACCCAAACTCCTGTGTCAGAGGGATTCGTTCGCGCGTTACACGCTCGACAGAACGAATCGTTTGCCTTTGGCTTCCACTATTGCCACTCTATCCAACGCATATATCTTCTGACTCTTATTGTATCCCAACTGGCATCAAAGGGCCCCGCCTTTGGCGCCACTCAGATCCTCTTGGCTCCTTCATCCACCCCAATGTTCCATACTATCATGGGAATATTTTTACCCTTTCTCATTCCACCCTCTCTCTCCATTACCAAACCCTCTTTATCCAGCTTCTACATTCATTTCCGGCCTCTGTTTCGCGCCCATTTCCATGTTTCTTCTTTAGATATTCATACTTTAAGGGGTAGACGTTTCTGAGCACATTCAATCGTGTACCCGAAATTCTCTCGATACTTTATGATATTTTCGTCAAGTTTTATATCACACGTCAATGGGTCCCAACAATAAACCTCGGATTTTCTGGATTTCTATTTATGCCTTTTCGGGGTGAATGGAGGTATTGTAATTGGAAAAGTTTTTTCTTCAGAGATTTTGGGTGGAGATGATTTAGGATCGGCTAGAGGTTCTTATCCCGAAAATGTACGCATGTGTGGGTTAGTGGCTGAATGTATTTAGTATTTTTTTCACAGTCGATGAACGGAATTGTATTGGATTTTGAAGATGTCCAAGGTCGTCATCGATTTTTTTACACTAAAATTCTTTCCGAAAATTGTAGTTAAACATCAGAGGTTCCGATTCGGCACTCGGTCAACGAATATTTTTTAATGATTTTGTTATTTAAACCCTTTGAAGTCTTGACGTGATGTTTTATTTTACAACTGTTAGAAATGATTACACCACTACTGATCACAGGGCTATTAATCGCGGGACAAAGGACCACAGGATAATTAGATCATTTAGAAAATGAATCATACAATATTAAATTATCGGAATTTTCTATTACAGAAATGAATAAGGAAAGAGAAGAAAGACACGTAGATTACCGGAAAAAAGTAAGAAAGTACAGAAAAAAAATACATAAAAAAAATAATGAATAGAATCAGTGATTACAGTGAAACGTTGCAATTTTTGTCAGACTTGCAATCTTGCAGATATTGAGAAGTGATAGTCTTCTTCCAGGCATTTTCACGGTATTTATCAAACAAATACCCATTGAGTAGCAATAATCTATTACCCTTTGGTGGAAACCAAAATGTAAAGGGATGACGGACAGTTATATTCACACGAAACCACAATTGAACGAAAACTGAAATCGAGTGGTAAGGATCGGAATATTAACTGCCCTCCCGTCTAATGCCACTCAAAAATCACTATATTGATTCAATTTTCGGGTAAAGGGACCTATACGAAACAACCACCGCAATTTATTGTTTCGTGAATAAAATAACTTATGATCAAATATTTTGTGACGACTTCATGACGGTCCATGTGATCAAATTTGTGATCATTTGTCCCGTGATCAAATGTACTGGTGACAAGAGGTGTTACCGTTAGAAAGTATTTGGGCAATGAGAAAAAAAATCTATAAGTTGGTTTTTTGTAGAAGATTCGTAAAATAGTAGAAAAGGTGCTATCATTATTAATTTAGGACTGTTGTCTTGAATAACTGCTGCATCATGAGTTTTCCACCCTTGAAATCACTTTTTGAAATTTGTAATCCATATCTTCATGTTCAGAATGCTCTCGCGAATTGATTCCATGAAAAATAAAAACATTTCCGAAAGTTATATTTCATACAATAGATAATTCATGTACCGTAGACATTCGTATATCAATGTTCATGGAAAAAACATATTATTAATCAATCGACAGGAATAACCATTCACACAGAACAAAACTCTCTTTCCCTGGACTTTTATCATATTTTACGATCCTTTCGTCAAGTTTCATACCACGCCAGTGAGCATCGCCAATAATTCTCCGCTTTCCATTCATCGTGTTTTATTTATCTCTATTTAGTTCTGCAGTTGGATACATTCACAAAGTTCCAAAGTAGAAAAGTTACTAATTGGTTGACTTTCTCTCGCTATCATCAACAAAGTTTCTTGTTTATTATTAAATGACTCCCGGTTTCAATGGTTTGCCCAGTAGCTGTATAAATAATTTTGAAACCTCACTTTTTAATTCCAGTGATTAATTTTCGTTCAAATTAAATAATAAATTTCTCATTTTCCCCCTCAAACTGGAGAATCTCATTTTTCAAAGCTTTCAAGAGTCTTTCTCCGTAACAATATTAACCCCCTAGTACATAAAGACCGCCTCCCTCCTGTGAGCCGTCGTCTTCGATTTGTCAAGAAAAACCCGGAGAGCCAAAAAACCCTTTCCATGCTCCTTATTTCCTTATTTTTTATCACTCTGCACAATAAATCTTGTGATTATACTTTCAAGTGTATAAATTCATGGGAGTAGAAAATATGTCTTTCTGTTACAAGCAAATATCGTTTACACAATAAAACGCCAAGCAGAAAAAGTTCTCTTTGAATTCGAAACAATATTCATTGCATTGAGAATGAAATGTTTCTCAAATTAAAGACAACAGCGTTCTTGAATTTAGAATATTGTTCCGTTTGAGAATATGATGGTTTAGCACTTTCAAGTAGTATGAACAATCTCCAGTTGAGTCGATAAGTGTAACGAGGAGAAATAAATTTGAAATGCCCAAAAAATGATTATTCACCATTGACAATTTCTTACATGCATTTTAACTTTGATCAATATAAAAAATTGATCCATGAACTTCTTTCTTCATTTATTTTTTTAAACAATAGCCTCTGGCTTGACTGGGGTGTTTCAATCAGTGGCAACCCGGTAACGATGAAAATATTTCCCTCTCCGCATAGCGCGACTGGCGTTCAATTAATGTAATGCTGTCACTTCACATAACATGCCTTTTCGGGGCACCCCAGAAATATAAATTATTTATTGCACAAATTTGGCACTATCGCTAATTTTTATAGTGGGCATCGATTTTTTTAAATTTTAATTTTCTCCTCAATCTTGAAAAGTTCATTTTCGCCACGGCGGGCGGAAGGGACACATTTTCCTCTCGCTTCGCGGGAGGAAAATCTGCCTTTTCGCCTACGCCGTGACGAAAAATAACGTTTTCACCACGGGAGGTAAAATAAAGAACCCTTACCCACGTGCTTACCAATGGTAAGTCTGCAAGTGGGCACGACTCCTTTATTTTCCCTCCCTTGGTGGGAAATATACTATTTCTTATAACACTAGTATTTTGGCACTTATCTAAATTAATTATTATCAATAACTAGGGGGCTACGCCCCCTGCTCGCTCCACTCGCCAACCCCCATATGATCCCCATATGAGCCTCGTGATCCTTATTCTGACCGTTGTGGCCCTTAATCAGACCCTTGTGACCCTTAATTTAGAGTACTAAATTCTCATCACCAGAAGTCGATTTGGATTTTTATAATATAGAGAGATATATAAAGATCCTTACTTTGACCCTCGTGACCCTTAGTTTTTAGCTTCCATGCCCCTTATTCGGACCTTCAATTTGACATTTATGATCCTTAATCTGACCCTTGTGATCCTCATTTGGGCTCTTATTCTACCCTTGTGACCCTTATTTGGACCTATATTGTACCCCCGTGACCACTATTCTGACCCTCATGATCCTTAATCTGACCCTCGTGACCCTTACTCTAACTCTCATATTTCTTATTCTTATTCTATTTCTGATTAAATACATCGGCCGTGATTTTTGAGTTTAATCTGAAAATGTTCTAAAATTAAGAAAAATTCTGCATTGGTTTTAGAAAATATTTGTTCTTAAAGACAATTCCCAAATTCGTTCGTTTTCATCATTCCACCGAAGATAAAGGTTAAGAACATGAGTTTCTAGAATCGAGAAACTATTGTGCAAAGCTAATCC